ATTTTATTTATTTATTTGAGAGAGAGAGAATGAGAGACAGCATGAGAGGGAGGAGGGTCAGAGGGAGAAGCAGACTCCCTGCCGAGCAGGGAGCCCGACGCGGGACTCGATCCCAGGACTCCAGGATCATGACCTGAGCCGAAGGCAGTCGCTTAACCGACTGAGCCACCCAGGCGCCCCAATACTATTTTGTCTTTTATTTTTATTTATTTCCCATTTTTTTAAAGATTTTATTTATTTATTTATCAGAGAGAGACACAGTGAGAGAGGGAACACAAGCAGGGGAAACAGGAGAGGGAGAAGCAGGCTTCCCGCTGAGCAGGGAGCTCGATGCGGGGCTCGATCCCAGGACCCTGGGATCATGACCTGAGCCGAAGACAGGCGCTTAACGACTGAGCCACCCAGGTGCCCCTTGTCTTTTATTTTTAAAAGACTTGCTTACACGAGAGGAATCAGGTCTCAAACTTCTAATAGCAAAGCTTTAGAATATAATAAGCATTTACATATAAGCCAAGGACATCATTGATGCCAAATGTGTGCAATCCACTCTATCTAACAGCACCTAGCATTTAAAAATATAAGCATCTCCATGGACTGTTTCATTCATCGGAATGGAATTAACAAATAGCAGAGGTCTTATGAAACAGAATTACACATTCAATTCAATGTAGAGCAATATTTTCCTAATAGTCTTATAAGACGCAAGTGGATGATCATTAGACAGTTAAAAGAGACTCAGAACATACCACATAGTGAGGAAAAAATGAATGCTTAAATGTTGAACAGAAGAAATTAATAATAAAAACCCTTTATACTTACTTTTGTCAGCCAAAGGTCTGAGTCATAACTTAGCAGGAGCCTTGAATTTTTAAGTTACCAAAGCTGCATCATGATAGCCAGGAACATACCGTGTAGACGGCTTAGCACACGGGAAGGTTAAGCAAGGCTTGAGCCAATGCTCTTAGGAACCCAAAATATATAGACCAGAAAGGCTTGCTTTCTCAGTCAAGTGAGATAAATCTTAAAACTAGGTAAATATGCAAAAAATAAACATTTAAAACTTCATTTTGCTAAAGGCATGAGTTAAACACACACACACACACACCCACTGAGCAGGGAGCCCGACACTGGGCAAAAGCAGAGTACAAGGGATTTAGATGTGACAGAATCATCACCTTGATTTATGTCAAAGAATGTCGTATGTATCTTCACGTGGGGCACAGTTAGGTTTTAAGGTTTCAGAAATACTTTTGAATTTATTATCGGACTGGAACACACTATATAGAATATTTCAAAGTTGCTACCAAAAAACAAGTTGAAATTTTACTTAGCAATATAGGTTTCTCAACACCTCTTCCTCCCCCTTGGGCATCACATTCAGAAAGATGCAGGGAAGGAATGATTAAATGGTCTCTGACGGATCTACTAGCATGTTCTGTTTCTGAATTATATAGAATGTCCTGGTCCTTAAGTAATGGGATAGATTTTTGGAGAGACTATCAATTTGGGGCTAAAGAACTATGTGGGTAAAAGCTCTAGAAGGAAGAGAGATTGATGAGTGACCTGAACGGTGAGGGGGAGGTGGGGAGAGAATATGCAATAAATGCTGGCCTGTTGGATTTTTCCCTCCCTTCTCTAATCCATTCATCTTTTTAAGACTGCCTTCTGTGTCCTCTTCAGGGGACATTTATCATTTCTTCCTTCGATATTTTAACATAAAGCCTCCAAGAAAAACAGCAAATTCAAGGCTAATATTAAAAGCTTGAATAAAAATAATAACGAGCCTTATCATCTGATCAGTAAACTCTTCTTAGTGAATAAAATCTTCATTTGTCCAAGTGGGATGGCCTCTCTCAGCAGACAGCACTCACTTAGGGTGTGACACTCGGCTTCTGGAAATGTGAACAATTACTTTCTAAATAACGTGAGAGAAGTCAGTCCTTTCTTTCTGATGCATTGCTGCTTTGTGGACCTTATTTTATTTATCTTTATGGCAAATCGTTGCATTACATGACTGCGGAGACTGAGGCCTCATTTCTAATGATTTATCCAAAATCACTCAAGAAAAAAGCAGAACCAATGGAAATATAATCAGAACCCCTTGAAAATGCAGTTACTGTAGATGCATACAAATAAACTATGATCAAAGTTGAATCTTAGGTCTGGTAACTGATTTTATGTTGAATATAAGTCATTTTAAAAGTATAATTTAAGAGAATATTCTGGAAAACTGAAGTATAAAGATTATATTTATTCTGGGTCCGGATACTTTCTCAACTGTAGAAGTACAGGATGGATCTGACTTCTCCATCAGTAATCCAGATTCATGGTAAGTCGGGTTGCAAAAAATGTCTGCACGTCCTCTGATAATTACAGCATTTAGCTAGAGAGACGGAAGTTAATCGAATCCTCGTGGTTCTATTAATTTTCCTTATAATTGATAAAAATGCTACCTATAAAAGTTGGTAGGCACATTTTCAATGCATTCATATTTTATAATGAAATAGAGAAAATGAATTTGATTTTGAAAAATAAGGTTTATTTGTAATAACTATCTTTAATAACTCTGTTTTTATTTTTACCCCGGGGAATGCACAAGAACAGACGATGCTAGCTTTAACATTTACTGAAACAGTATACTCTTTATACTAATGCAAAACGCTAAGACTCTTCTTCCCACTCTAAACATCTCTTCTTTACTAATAGAGAATTCTCACTGCATCGGAACTAAGACTCAGGCGCGCTCAGAGGAGTCTGGGACGACTGGCCAGAGTTGGTCAGTAGGTTCCCCTCTTCTCAATTAGGTAACTGAAACAGGAAGTCTCGTTCTAAATATTAGAAGCAAAGTCTATATATTAGAAAAATAAAGAGAGGGAATGTAACAGACTGCTTCAAAATGCATGCCTGAGGTGCGAAACAGCTTGTACTTCCACGTGGTGGCAGCTTCCAGAAGAAATCTTTGGGATTTAATCTTCAGGTTCGTACCTGGAAAGAGATAAAAATTCTGTTAAGACCACAAATAACATCATGATACTTTTTGTTGCTGTCATTGTTACCCAGTGAGTTTACCTGCAAGCTCTCCAGTGACTACCCCAGTAACGCAGAATCACTACTGGGGTGGAAGTCAAAGACAGTCACGGCACTATGAGGGGGCTCCCCCAACAGGGGGACAAAGGACAAAGGACCAGCGAAGCGTGAGGACACCTTCGGACTCCAACTCTCTGGATCTGGCATTTAGACCCATGACAGCTTAGGACAGCAGAAACTCTGTATAATTATCCGAGTTGTCGGATGGACACAAAGTGCTGATAGGACCACGTGAGGACAAGGTTAACAAAGCCCCCTCTACAGACGAACTGGATCTGGGATTTACTTCCTCGCTCTGTTCCCCTGGAGCCCTGATAAAGGTAAAACGGCAGCTGAGTTTCCAGACCAAACCGCGGAGGACAGAAATGAGCCGAGGAGCAGAGCACACGTGGGCTGGGAGGACTGGGGGCTGAGCCGTGACTACTGGTGGGCCCACCGCAGACTCCCCGCGCTGTACACTGAGTTCGGGTAATGGCACCGTCCCTCCTGCTCCCGGGGCAGCACGCGGTTAGAGACCCGGTCCTCCGATGGCGCCCATCTACAGGGACCGCATTCTCTACCACCTAAATTGTCACTGAGGGAGGGCACAGGATGACCAGGTCTTAGGCTCCTGACAACACTCCTGAGGAGAAAGGCCCAAGGGTGCCCTGTTAGCTTGCTGGGTTTCCTTTCTGCTATCCTGCTTAAAGGAATCCACTGCAAGGGTAGTCTAGTGTAGCTGTGTGTGTGTGTGTCTCTCTCTCTCTAAAGTCCTGGCTGAACCTACACTGAAGCCCTTACAGACAGTATGGACAAGACCCAGCCAAAGCCCCTCTGCTCTCCTCAGACGCAGCCTTCTGGACTAAATGACAGCAAGCACCCCCTGGCCTGACCTCTCTGGACACAAACTGAGATTTAGTGAAGGACACACATCAATCGGCGGTGAGACAAATCCAAGAGCCACACAGGATCAGCCAGGCTTACTTGGCCAGTCTTCTCCTCAGGTCTTTGATTTGGTCATTCTTCCTGGTGAGAATCTCTTTCATGTTTCGATAAGCTGCTGTTTGTTGGAATTTCTTCTCTAATTCCTGCACAGTGAAAAATATCAGTCCGTTACTACGAAACAGTGAAGAAGTAGCACATCTCATAAACATGTATATTTTTGCTCTAATTTTACTAATACTCCATTTATATTATTTTCTAATTTCTTTTTAAAATTTACTTATATAAAATTAAGGCTATGCAAATTTTAAAAATACATTCCTTCAAAGGAGAAGTCCAGAAAACAGTAATATTGTCAGCATGTAACTAAGTACAATGAGAAGTCTGTGTGAAATAGTAAACTAATTCTCAGGTGAAATAAGCATGACTTTCCCCCAAATCCCAAAGTGGTACCAGTATTCTAGGAAGATGATTTTTTTGTTCAGTTACATTTTAGCTCCCGTATGCTTAAGAGTCTAATCCCTAAACTGAAGAACATGGTTCTCTACGTATTTCATAGAAATTAAGAACAAGGGATAGAATCCTTTAAAGAGAAGTCACCCATCCCTGTGGGGCTGTGGGAGGGATGGGCAACATGGGGGGGCAGGGCAGCTCACGTAAGCTATCCGTGGAGGAGTCTTTGACCATTCCATGGGAAGGAGTGGCGACTTTTTATTACCATAGATATCTTAGTGCCAAAGACAGAAGGATCTCAATGCCCAGAAATGATAAATTTCTAACATGTATTGGCCAATACACTGAGAAAAAGGAAAATCTGCGGCTGGCCCCCAATGTGTTCCTCAGTGACCCCTGTTCCTCACACAGACAAATCTGACCTTTTCAGCCATGCTCAGCTGCTCCTGAACCCTCAGTAGGTCATGCTTGGCTGTCGCCAGATTCTCTTCCAGGGACTTCTGGTTTTCTGTCTTGTCATTAAGTGTCTTCTGAAACTCACTCTTCAAAGCAGCAACTGTGTTTTCCAAGTCATTCAAGTCTTGGGCTTTTATAAAATCCTATGAAAGATACATGCACTGACATAATTTCACGTTGACATCCTAACTGGTGACTGTTTTACAACATTGATTCAGCATCATGACATGAAAGCAAATGTTGTGCGTGTGCATGTTGCCCCCACTGCACCCCCCCCCCCGCCTCCGCCAGCCCGGGTAAGCTCCCGCTCCTAGAGGGTCGCCAGCGCGCCTAGCTCACCCTCAGCCCCCGTGCCCCATGTCCTGCACATGGCAATGCTCAGTAGTCACTCATCTCCAGATATGTAAAATATCATTTATGAATTGCTGGAATTCCAAAGAGGAACAGGAGAGAGGTGAGATCCTAAATCTGACAAGGTTGTGTGTCCCTGGGTAGGGATGGCAAACAAGTTCCGTTCTTGAAAAGTCAGGTTAAAAAAAAACAACCCTGGTGAAGACTTTTGAATGATACAGATGGAAAAATAGTAAACCTAACAGAGTTTATATCAAAAATTTAATAGACATATGTCTTAATCATTATTTACATTAAGATATGAGAGCCTAATCAATGCTTACTGATTATATATGGCTTGCTAAATTTATAAGATTTTAAGGGTTTTTTTTTTGTATAAATGCGATATGCACGTTCGCACACTGTGTCGGCATGATAAAAGCAGCTGGATCTTGTTTTTGACTGGATACATTTGTAATAGAAAAAAGTTGTATTACTCAACAGGAAAATGGTCTATATATTTGCTAAATATAAAGATAAAGCAGTACTACCAACAAAATTCCTCACTCATTTTTGAAATCTAGTCTTTTGAAAAGATTTTACTTCATTGCAGCTAGTGAAAGCACGTACACCTTTTGCTTTTGCCAAAATCTGAAAAGTAAAACTGGAACAAAGTCCAAAATGGCTTTTGAAACAAATTCATCAGGGGCGCCTGGGTGGCTCAGTCGTTAAGCGTCTGCCTTTGGCTCAGGTCATGATCCCGGGGTCCTGGGATCGAGCCCCATGTCGGGCTCCCTGCTCCGCGGGAAGCCTGCTTCTCCCTCTCCCACTCCCCCTGCTTGTGTTCCCTCTCTTGCTGTGTCTCTCTCTGTCAAATAAACAAATAAAATCTTAAAAAAAAAAGTGTAACAACAGAAGCCTAACGAAGTAAGTCTGGGGACTGTTTAGCAGACATGAGAAAAGCCAGGGCCGCCCTGTAAATCCGCTCACATGGTCCGGCTGACAGGAAGTCTGTTCCAGCATCTGGCGCCGACAGGAAGGCCCCAGGACACAGAACTGAGCACGTGAGAACGTCCCGCAGCGGGAGCGGTACTCGGTGGCCTGCTCAGACAGGCCTGGAGAGCCAGGCATTTCAGCGCATCATACCGAGTACCGCCAGACGCAGGTGGATGTGAGGATGCAGACTCCGTAAATTCATTCTATCTTGTCATACTTACCGAAGGCCGACTTAACTAATAATAAGTTCTGTATAATAAAACCGAATACACATCCAATGAACTAAAAATTCCTCCTTTCTTCACTTCCTTTCCCCCCACTGTAATGGGAATGTCAAGGTAAAAGGGAGAAGAACTTAAAAAAAAATAAACTTCAGAATATCTGTGTGCTAGTGGGCTCTGGGGACGTGGGAAGCCTGTGAGCTGTGTACTTGCCCCAGCGACGTTCCCCACCCCAGCCTTTCCTGGACAGGGGTGTCCTGAGGCAGGACAACAGTGGCGTCCCTCTCAGGGAGTGGCAGGGGTGGGTCAAAATGAACAGTAACTAAGACGACTTCTTAAAGTAGCTCCATGCCCTTGTGGAGCCCAACACGGAGCCCAATGCAGGGTTCGAACTCAAGACCCTGAGATCAAGACCTGAGCGAGATCAAGTCAGACGCCCAACCAACTGAACCACCCAGGCGCCCCAACACTTCATATTAAGTTTATACCTTTATTCTATTTGAAAAAGGTGAAAAAGACAGCTGAAACTTATTCTGCCTTTTTTAAAAATTGAAGTATAATTAACATGCAGTGCCCTATCATTTTCAGGTGTCCATCACAGAGACTCGGTATTTCTGTGCCATACAAAGGGATCCCCGTGATACTGCAGTTACCCATGGTCACAAAATTATTACAGTATTACCGACTATATTCAAAACTTCTCTCACCTTTTGATTTCCTTGGTCGAGCTGTAAATCCTGCAGTGCTCTTTCTAGCTTTGACTTCTCATCTAATGCATGGGTTGCCTATAAGCAGATTTAAACAAAACACATTCAGTATTCAGTCTGTAGGCAACGCTTTCAATAATTTTGTCAAAGTATTTCTCAGTTACCTGCATTTCAATGGTCTTCAGCCTTGACTTCAATTTCTCGTTCTCTTCTTGAAGTCTGGAAATTTCCTTTGTGAGTAAATTCAAGGTTTATTATTTTAGCTACGGTATTTTTAATACTTAAAAGTGCTGCCCTTAAAAATTTAATTGCAAAATTAAATTTAAATCATAGAACAGCTTGAATACCTGCGTGCCCTGGTTGCTGGTGCTATCCTTGTCCCGCCCAGCCCACTGGCCTCCACACCTGTGAGTCACCTGTGGCTCTAAGCCTCTTTCCCAGTCTCTCAGGCTCCCTTCAGGCCTCTGTCCTCAGCCCTCCCGTGCCACCTCTCACCTAGCTGATCCTGCCACTCTTGGGTCTTTTCCCGGCTGACACAGCACACCACCTGTACTTATCCTAAAACATGGTCTCTATCAGCGCCATGCTGTATGACCAAGCCTCTAGATGCTTCTGTCTGAGCTGAGGACACAGGCCTTCGCTCCAAGCAGCTCCATCATGAGAGTCAGCTGTGAGCCCAGTCCTCTTCCTCCCTGCGCTCCGACACACGCACCAGCGCAGTCAGAGAGCACAGCGCTCTGTGCCAACTCACGCCAGCCTTCCTTCTGCCTCTCACTGCTGCCCATGCCATTGCCCTGTCTGCCATGCCCCCTTTCTTCCCTCTGACAACTTCATCTGTCTTTAGCCTTCAGCCCAGCTCAGGGACCACCTTCCCCCAAAGTCTGTCCTCAACCACTCGCATCCAGGTGGAACTATGTTTTCTCGGCCACCTGGGCACACACAGATTAGCATTCTCCCATTTCCAGAAGATTAATTCTCCCCTCTCAATGGGACTATAAGGTTTTTGAGGACAAAAGACTAAGTATTACATTGCTTTTTATCTAATAACATCTAGCACAATGTTGAGAGTACAGAAGTCGTGAAAAATATTTGTATGTTGGTAGTTAATTTTTATAAACCTCCTAATAAAAAACCCCATCATTGCTATTGTAGATCATGAACTTCAAATGTCCATCAATAAACACTGTCCGAAATGCCATACCCTTCACGTCACCATGAAAAGATGCAGTTAAGAGTTGCTTCAGACTTTCTGGAAGGTGAGTGCCCTCTTCTGGTCCCCGGGAACCATGAAGTAGACCAACTACAATGGACTAATTACCCTCAGTGGACCAAAGCCTGAATCCGCTGCCTCCTACCTCAGGTTTTCCGCCCTCCAGCTGTGCAGGCCAAGAGAGGGCTGAGTCAGAGGGTCTGCCTGTCTCGCCACGAGGACATTACCTTGTTCAGGAGTTCCGTGGTTCCACCTTCGTTAAGTGGAGCAAGTTTTGGCTTCATGGTATCTATGATGGGCTGATACAAAAGAAAGAAACCAAACCAAAATCACCGCAGAAGAAACCACATGTAATCACTCAACACCTGCACTAAGTGGAAAACACTGTAAAATCATATCCACGGGGATGCCAGCTCCACGGGGTGGGGGTTTTTGTAGGTTGGGTTCTCTGCTACGCCACAGTGACGAGGACAGTGCCTGGCCCGTGGTGCCCCAAACAGATTAGAGATGCAAGTGAACCCATCCTCCCCATATCCTTTTAAATAAATTCGGATGAAGGGAAAGGAGGGAGGAAAGGCCCGGAAATGTCTTAGCCAGAAATACATTCCAAAGGAATAACTGGGAAATTGTTTTGTATGTGTATGTTCGTGAACTCTTTTCAGCACCATTTTTCTCGCCCGGACACCAGGGAGCATTTGCGGTGCATCTGCACGATGCCGTATTACGTGGTCACTGCAAATAAAGAGAATGATTGAAAAGAGAAGCAGGTCACTAGTCACTGCGAGGATTGTCTCCATTTGACAGATGAGGCAAACAAGGCTCGGCTTTCTCAGGTAACCCGCTCAAGGTCATGCAGTGGGAGAGACAGGGCCAGGATGGAGAGCCGTGCTGAGCATCATCTGGGTGAAGAGTTTATATGGCAGGGAATGGGATGGATTGCGGGGATTCTGTGTGTGTGTGTGTGTGTGTGTGTGTGTGAGAGAGAGAGAGAGAGAGAGCACGTACAAGTGAGCGAGAGGAGACAGAAGTAGTTTTTCATGGTTCCTTTTAAAGAGTTTCTTTTTTTGCTTGAAAATATGAGGCAATCTTTGAAGTCTGCTCTTGAATTGAATGCTCTTCCTTGATGGTTTTCACTTTAACCTCTGAATGCTCTGGGCAACTTGAGGATTTTAAACACCGGCTATTAAGATATGGACTTAGAATGACTAAAAATTACCTTTTTATTTGAAGATGTAAATTCTGCTTTTTCAAATTCTGCAACTTGTTCTAATAATTCTCTTGAAGATAAAAACAAATACGAACAAAAAATGTTCATTTAGATCTGGACCACACCCACAGAATACAATCACAGGTACCGATCTACTACAACATGGCAGGGAGGACAGTGCAAGTCACCATATCCAAAATGAGACTTAGTTACTAATGGCCCGGAACCCAAACCACATGGACCAAACTGGAATATTCCAGTATCCTGCACCTAAGAGATCACTCGGTGACCAGACGCATTGCTGCAGCTCTCCCCAGACTTTCTCACCCCCCAGTCTTAAGAAAAGAAGTGGCAAAGGCATTCGCTAACTTTTGAGATCATGCCTGGGCCTCTCTTGTCCTAACTGCAGGTACGAACGTTGAGTACCTGTTTTCAAGTTCAGAGATATCGGTCTGTAGCTTGAGGTACCACTTCTCGGCCTGTGAGAAAAGCTGCCGCAGAAGCAGCACATTGGTGTGGGCCGTGTTGATGAGCTCAGACTCCACTTCGCTGTAGACCACAGCCTGCAGCCCGCTCAGGACCTCAGAGACCTCGTCTACGGTGAAGGTGTCCTCCACCAACCTGAAAAACAACCACAGGCCCAGGCTTCAGGAGAAACAACCCAAACCATTTAAGAAATACAATAAAACTCAGAAACCCACATTCACGTCATCTGAAGCATTCAAGGGTTATAGTGAAAATCTCTCTGGGAACTATCTTCTTTCTTTTTTTTTTTTTTTTTTAAAGATTTTGTTTATTTATTTATTTGAGAGAGAGAGAGAGACAGAGAAACAGCATGAGAGGGGATAGGGTCAGAGGGAGAAGCAGGCTCCCCGCTGAGCCGGGAGCCCGATGCGGGACTCGATCCCAGGACTCCGGGATCATGACCTGAGCCGAAGGCAGTCGCTTAACCAACTGAGCCACCCAGGCGCCCCACTATCTTCTTTCTTAATAAAACATACTAAAAATAATTTAAGTTCAGTTCATTTTTTTCTAAGCTCGGGTAATTTTTGAGGTCTACTAAAATGATCACACAGTGGGTGTGCACATCCTCTAACACAAGGTATGTGCTCACAAACAGTCCCCCAAACATTTACTTTTTTTCTTTAGTTTTTCAGTTAAAAATTTTTTTTTACTTGGGCGCCTGGGTGGCTCAGTTGGTTAAGCAACTGCCTTTGGCTCAGGTCATGATCCTGGAGTCCCGGGATCGAGTCCCGCATCGGGCTCCCTGCTCAGCAGGGGGTCTGCTTCTCCCTCTGCCCTCTTCCCTCTCGTGCTCTCTGTCTCTCATTCTCTCTCTCTCAAATAAATAAATAAAATCTTTAAAAAAAAAATTTTTTTTACTTTAATCTCCACCAAAATTAGTCTTATCACATTTAGTAGTTTCAAAAGTCATCTGGAAGGTGTTATTTCTCCTTTCTTTCTATTATTTGTTTAGCATTTCAATAATTGTATGAACTATTGACATGAGAGTAAATGACTATAAGAAAATCAATGGTCATTATATGTTGCTTCTCTTAGCATTGAGGCCCAAATGAAAAAGAAACTGACTTATCTTAGTTAAAGCTCCTCTGACAAAGATAATTACCATATGATTTCACTCATGTGTGGAATTTAAGAAACAAAACAGAGGATCATAGGGAAAGAGAGGAAAAAATAAAACAAGATGGAATCAGAGACGGAGACAAACCATAAGAGACTCTTAACTGTAGGAAACAAACAAGGTTGCTGGGGGCGGGGGGAAGGGGTAACTGGGTGATGGGCATCAAGGAAGGCTCGAGATGTAATGAGCATTGGGTGTCATATGCAACTGATGAATCACTGACCTCTACCTCTGAAACTAGTAATACAATATGTTAATTGAATTAAAAAAAATAAAGCTCCTCTGAGCACTGACCACTCATCATCATCATCAGTAACATTAAACCCACTCTCCCACAGAAAATGTTTGGGTCGGGAGGGAACTTCAGAGCCATCTTCTTCAATCCCCTCACTTTCAGATGGGAATGCAGGTTCAGAGGGTGGAGGTGGTGTGCCCCTGGTCCCGCAGGGGAGTGACTCAGCCCCACAATCATTTCCAGCAATCTCAGCAACATGCCCAATAGCTGAATTCCGAGAAAGCATCTGTGCAGGGCTCCTACTTTCAAGGGCAGTTTGACAGTAAAACGGCCCCTCCCCTCCCCTCTACAGCTGACGATGTCTGCTCCCCAGTGCCGTGCATGGCTTTATGGCACTCGGTGCTCACGTGGAGGCCTTGTGCATTTCCACCTCACCTGACATTTAACTGTGCCAGAGGCTGACCCCCAAGTAATCTGATGTCTCTTTATTGCTTAGTTCTTTTCTTTCTTTGGTTCCACTATTTTTCTCTAGATCAGGTATGCATTTTCTACGGACTTTATTCCACGACTGGTTCAACGAAACCAGTTATCATCTACTAACAATTTCTGCTCGTTATGGTTTTTCATGGTTTTCTGCTGTTTTTCCCCCTTCTAATTCTTCACTATGAACTATGTAGGGGTTTTCTTGCTAATTGTCATGCCTTATGGCTCTAATCCTTTAATTAATAACTCAGGTAATTGAAGTTCTGGGATCTTTAATACAGCAAGCCAATCCTTAACCTACATGCGTTTCACTACTTCCTGATGGCTCTTCTGAAACTTTGCAATCTCATAATTATCATATGTGTATGTTTGGTAATAGATTCCTCCCACCACAATCCAATTTCTTGAATTTCACATATCCACAAGGCGTGGTGTAGCTACTCTCAGTGAATAACTGATCACGATAATCCCAGCAACGGTTTTATGGCCTCTCCTACAGCATCCCCACTATGGCTCCCAGAAAGGATCCATGTTTCCCCCCGGCTTTCCTTAGAGTCCTCTGATACCTGCTCTCCTTGAGGTCTTGGAAGCAGGAATCTACAGTTTTGAGTCTCAGGCCTCTTTTTGAACGAGCAAAACGCATGTAATTGATAACTTCATTTTGGTGGTGCTCATTTAGGCCCAACTCTGCCTAGAAGAGAGAGACGCAATCATTAGTCTTGAAGATCTGACGAAGGAACCAACAATGAAAATATATAAGATATCCAGGTGTAGCGATTGCTAGATGTCCACCAAATTCTGTTCTTCCCTTCCTCCTGGGTAAAAGGCTGCCCAACTAGATGATACTTCCCAGCCCTACCTGCAGCCAGGTGTGGCCACATGACTACTGCTCAGTAATGGATGTGAGCAGAAGACACATGGGCCATCTCCAAAGCCTGAGCCTTATGATGTGGGCATGTCTTTGTCACACCTATTTCTCTGGAGGGGCCGGGTGGACAGCAGGATGAAAGGGACCTGTATCCCTGACTGATTTTGTGGAGCAGTGCTGACCTACAGACCTCAGATGAGTAGTGAGATGACTGTTAAGTGAGAGAAATATACTTCTGTATTCTTTAGGCCACTGGTTTTTTGGATATCTACTACACCAACTTAACCTTACCTTAGCTCATACAGCTTTAAAAAATGAATTTGGTTTTGAAATAGTAATTAATTGGGTCTTTATTTTAAATCAGATGAGAGCTTGACAACTATGAGCTAGAGATCAATGAAGTTCTTTTTCATTTTATAGTATGCTGAAAAGAAAAGGACATCATACAATTGAACATCTAATGCAGAGACTAAATGAGTCAGGAATGATCTTTATTTTAAGAATAATGATCTATCATATATCATAGCCTTCCTATGGGAGACTAAGGTTTAACTTCCAAGCCTCTTTTTCAGGCTTGTCACTATCGACACACAGGGTTGGGATGCCTCCAACACCAAGGGCCAACAATCAGGCATGATCTCCTTCCGCTCCCAAGTCGCTCGCGGTGGCTTTTCTGCATCCACACACCTTCTCTCTGCAGTCTCGATTTCCTTAGGACATATGTCTCTAAAGGCTAGGACCTTGCCCATCCGGTTCCCTGAGTACCCCCATCCCCAGCACAGTGCATCCCAAGCAACAGACATGTGCCAACAAAACGTGTGCCGACAAATGAACTTCAAGGCGTTCCTCCTTTTGAAGGTCACTTCATCAGGCCTTAATCGGTTCTCTTTCAAATTCCTGGAGAACTTGATTAACCAAGTATTCTCCCCTCTCAACATTCTACAGGTTTCTTCTTCCTTCAGACTATAGGGAAGACTATATACATAAACCTTATTCATGCTTATTCACCCCCCCCCAAAAAAAACCTCAAACCTGAGAATCCCTCTAGCTACCCTTGCATTTCTCCACACCCTTTCTGCCCTTGCTATCCCCATGCTATCCCCTAGTCCTTAAACCCATACCTACTCAAATTGCTTTTGTAAAGCTCACCAGCAGCTTTACTTTATTATTATGATCACCTGGGAGCTTTTATTTATTTTTAAATTTTTTGTTTTACATTTGAGTACAGCTGACCCACAATGTTACATTTATTTCACTGCTGATGTATTTCAGTGGCCCATTTCAATGGTGCCCCTGAAACTCTGGTTTCAGCCCTATTTCTGAACACTGTGCACTGTTCTAAGTAGGGCTGCTATTTAAGCGGACATTCTATATCCGCTTGAAAGATGAATGGATATGTTTTAGCATACGGGACAGCTGGTCTTTTCTGAACAGGTCAAAATAAAAGAAGGATCACCCAAGTTTCTTGGGCTGTAAAGTGGATGGTGTGGACTCTTAAAGTCGCTCTCACATCCGAAAGCCGGATTCCATCATGTTCTCCCTCCACAACTCGTTATAATACATAACTTTTCATGCTGCGAAAGGGTGTGTGTGTAAAAAAAAAAAAAACAAACTTGGGGAGTTTTAGGAACAGAATGAAAAATCCTGCCCTGCGCCTTCTGCAGGCGGCCGTTCCCTCCAGCTCCCTCCACCAGCTACCTTCAAAGTGTGACTTGGGCCGGCCGGCCCAGGCGGGAGCGAGGAATGTCACGACGCCGGGGACAGAGGCTGCTACTACGGCGGAGGGGCTGCGGCCGAGGTTAACGGAACTTTGGGGGCCGGCCAGGAGGCCCAGGAGCGGGCTTAGCCCGGCTGCAGCCACGCCCTCCCTCGGCCCCATCTCGGCATCTCTTCCGCGCGCTGTGGCTCCCGGCCGGCTACTCACCATGGCGGCGGCGGGAGTCGCAGCCCAGAGGAGCGGGAGAGGCCAGGCCGAGACCCGCCAAGCTGGGGTCGCCGAGGGTGGTTGGGCCGCAGAAGATGCGGAGGGAGGGCAACTTGTTTAGAAGCCTCCGGTTGCTAATGGGAACGGAGGCACGTGACCCTAAGTGATGCACTTTTATTGGTCCTCAAGATCACGCGACAGGAAGTGCGGTGTGACCGGCTGACCGCCGCATGCGCACTGCTTCCAGAGCCGGAAGTCCCGCCTATCCACGCCACGCCGACTTTGTGAGCAGGCCAGCGTTGCCAATGGTAACGGGAGGGGAGAGGCCGCCTGGACCCTCACGTTCAGAGGCGCTCCGGAGCATTGGAGTCAGGGTTGCCCCGAAGGGCTGTCCCTCCCTTCCCGGGCTGGGTGACGACGCCGGCTGTGGCTTGGGAGACCGACTTTTCAGTGGTCTCAGGGGGCCTGGGCGTGGGCGGCCCGGACTGATTGCTCTTCTCTCCAGCGCTGCCAGGTGCCAGGATAGAGCTATGAATGGCTCTCTCCCCGCCCCGCTCATTTTTTTTTCCTCTTTTAGTCCTGCTTTATCCTTAAAAATTAAACGCAAAAAGAGTTGGTGAAAGAGCAGTGAATTTCAAACTATTATGCCTGGAATCACCGGGCAAGCTTGCTGAACAAATGCTTCCTGGGGCCTCACCCCTCCAGAAATTCTGAATCAGGAAGTCTAGCTTGGGTGCTTGGAATCTGCAGTTTTTATCACACACCAGGAGCGATCGGGGACCACTCTTAAAGAAACACTGCCCTAAATCATCAGGGAAATGCAAATCAAACCACTCCCTCCGTGGCTTGGTTTCAGAATGCTCCAGTGACCAGGGACCTAAAAGCAACCTTACACGTGTCAGAAGGGCTAGACTCAGAAATAACAAGTGTTGGGGAACATGTGGAGAAAGAGAATCCTCCTGCACTGTTGATGAGAACATAAAGTGGTACAGCCACAGTGAAAAACAGTATGAAGTTTACTTAAAAGTTAAAAACAGAACTATATGAGCCAGTAATTCCACTGCTGGGTATTTACCCAAAGAAAACGAAAACACTAATTGAGAAAGACATATGCATTCCTATGTTTACTGCAGCATTATTTACAACAGTCAAAATATAGAAGCAATCCAAGTGTCCCATCAATAGATGAATGGGTAAAGAAGATGTGGTGTATGCACACACACACACACACACACACTATGGAATATTATGCAACCATAAAAATGATAAGATTTTGCTACTTGGTACCACATGGATGGACTTAGAGGGTATTATGTATGCTAAGTGAAATAAGCCACAAGAGAAAGACAAATATTGCATGGTATTACTCAAATGTGGAATTAGGGGAAAAAAAGTCAAACTCATAGAAACAGAATAGAAAAGCGATTGCCAGGGGCTTGGAGGTGGGGGAAATAAGATGCTGGCAAAAAGGTACAAACTTTCATTTATAAAATGAGTAAGTTCCGAGGATCTCATGTATAACGTGACTGTAGTTGATAACACTGTATTGGGTGATTAAAATTTGTTGGGAGTAGAGTTTAAGTGTTCTCATTTTAAAAAAAATGAAAAAAGTAAATATGTGAGGTGATGAGGGAAAGGCTGTGTTAATGAACTCAAAGAGGGGAATCTTTTTACAGTGTATATGCATATCCAATTATCATGTTGCACACATATTAGAATTTTTTTTGTCAATTTTATATCAAGAAAAGCAAGAAGGGAGGGAGGGAGGGAGGAAGGAAGGAAGGAGACTGTCCTAGAAGAGGCAAAGGTACAGGATAAAACAGATTATTGCAAGTACCAGGGGCTTGGGGCTGGGTGGGTGAAAGCCATTGAGTGGGCTTGGGCGACTCACTGGGCATTTCAGCAGGCTCAGAAGACAGAAGCATGAGCCAGACACACTGAGGAGGGAATGAATAAGCTAAAAAGTGAGCTTGGCATGGTAGACACTGAAATAGGAAGGAGCACAGAGTGGGGAGCTTCCTGAGAATCTGGGAGACTTAAAATTCAGGAGAGGCTATTTGGCATGGGTTGGTCCTGACTCAGGAATAGATAAGCCAACTTAGATCATGCTTTCGGGGTTTGTGTTGATTTTGGCCACTACACAGCGCAACTTAAAATGGGTCACAATGGGGACCTAAAAGTCTAGAAAGGATTTCACAGTCCCGGTTCTGCCTGCTTCATTTATGGATAGGGAGATTGAGAGCTGAGGCCACGTGTCCGGGTCCTCAGAGGGCTAGGTCGAAGCATCTGAAGTTGGAGTCCGTGATGAAACTATTACAAATATGTTTTCAGGAGAAAAACCAGAAAGTAGGTGTGAAATCTTCTGGTACAGGGGACATTAAATCATATTCTGGTTTCAAGAATTTAATTTTTCTTTTCATTTCTTGCCACCTTCATTTAATTCAACATAAACCATATACCACATTATGTATCAGGCTTAGGAGTTGTCCCAAGACTCAAGTTCAATGCTTTAAAAAATAAACTTGAAACTTCCATTGCTAGAACAAAGTGGTAGTAGATACATCCTGTGGAATTTATGAATGGATGATGTCTTTAGAAAAAGAGGCACAGCAATGAACACACGTTTATTAAGTTAAATGGCCAATACAGTACAATGGAAATAATCTAAATGGATAAGTTTCAATTCAGACAAACTAAGAGCTAGGAGGAAACAGTATTTTCAGATGCGGAATGACAGCTCAGAAAAGGAAAGGGTCTTGCCCAGTACAGAGGCAGCGGGGTCAGGTCTGGAATCCAAATCTCATGATCACTGGTGAGAGTTTCTCAACCATTTAATTCTACCCAAATATAGGTGCCCCGGCTTTCTCTTTCAGTTTTACCCCCACCTCTGTGAACGTACGGCACCTTACCTTCTGTTTAGGGGAGCTTAAGAGTGTCCTGTGGCAGTTGAAAAGCAGGGGACAAAGGGGTAGATTTCCAGTTTGCTTGAGGCTTGGCAAAGTCTTGGGGGCACAGTCAGGAATCCTTCTCTTAAATGATCAAGGGATGATATGCATGTAGTTGCCCATGGAAGGACCTTGAGCCCGAGGGTCAAGAAGAACAGTGGGCCGGGTGCCCCTGCGTGTAACCTGGAGCAGCCGCAGGCAAGGAAGGATGTTCTAGAGGTACTGGCTTGGCTGCCCAGCTTTACCATTGCCTCCCAGTGGCATCTGGGCAGAATTTCTGCCTCCCTGCAAGGCCTATACGTCAGGGTCTCAATACCCACACCCCGCAATGTGACCCCCTCCAAGCTCAGTTAAATGTCCACTTTATCATGCCATCTCTCACATTTCTGTTGAGTGTTTGTTGAATTTGATAATGATTGCCATCTATGGACTAGGCATACTCCAGGGCAATAGTTCATCCTCACCATCTCTGGCTCTTTCTTACCACAGTGGACATTCATGAGTTCACATAGGGGGAAAGTCACTTTACTGTGCCGTGGATGCAAGATAGTGAGTTTCATAACCACTCTTACGACATTTAGGTGAAGTTGTTCATCAGTTTGCATCTCGAAGGAAACCTAAGTGTATTTTCCCGCAGGCAAACTCCTATCTATGCTTACTAAGTGTTATTAATGCCAGGGGACAAAAAGAGTGGGTAGATAATGCAAATATGTCATTCGTGAGTATGTTTGTGGCTTGGGGATTTTTCAGGTTGCTCTGCAAAGCTGTATCAGGTAGTTGTTTTAATTTAAAATTCCATTTTAATCTAAAATCTTCTGAACCAAGGGGGTTATAATAATCACGGTTAGCCCATCTACCCAGCTGGGTTGATTGTTGTTACATAAGCTGTCTAAATAGTGTCAGCAAATATGAACATGTATTTTTGGCCTTCAACTGATGAATTTGGCTCACGAAGAGGCTGAACTTGTGCTTCAGATTGTTTACTAGCCTGGGTTGATTACCAAGGCAAACAGTACGAGCTGTGGGGGAGAACAGCTCCACCCTACCTTAATAGCAAGCTTCTTAGTCTCACACTTTAAAAAAAAAATTGCTGTGACCATTTTAGAAGTGTGTGTGTATGTGTGTGTAAATTTGGAAGGAGTAGATGGGAGGCACACAACGGAGGCCATTATATACTTTTTAGCATAGTTCAAGATAAATAAAACAAAGACCAACTCTGTCTCTTCAGATGATTTGGAAATGAGACTCTTGTGAGTTCATAGGTTACCAGTCCTAACACGGGCACCACCAATTTCAGGGTGTTTGCAACCCACGCTAGGCAAAAGGAGGAATGGGAAGGTCATTATGCTCTTTTTAGCGGTGTCGACAGATTCACTCGATCTGCCACTATTTACAGAGCCTCTCCCTTGTATGTGCAAGTTGCTGTGGTTGTGATAGAATCTGAGAAGAGATATGGGGGATTCAGGAGGCCCCTGATTTCCCTACTCTATAGGGCTTTGGTTAAGGTCTGGATGGGGAAGGGGGGCACCAAATAACAGAGAAAGGGATTTAGTAAAAAAATGGTGCAGGTGGTACACAGAAAAGACAAAAATCTTAAAGGTGATGTGGGGAAGAGGAAAGTTGGAGAAACACCGAACTGGTGGGGAATGGCTCGGGGAAAATCATTGTGGGGGATTCTCTTGAGTCTTTGGAGTATGGCTTCTGGCGTGTAATACCCCCAGGGTCCTCTCCGATTTCCCCAGTCCTACCTGGTTACAACCGGGAAAGTAGCCAAGACTTTAAAGAAGGGAAGAAGCCAGGATTGAGAGTCTTTACAGGAACTATGGCAGCTGAGTGGGTCTCTGGTGGGCAAGAGATTACTTTCGGTTCTTCTGTTGTTTACTCCCTCAGTGGCTTGGTTTCAGAATGCTCCAGTGACCAGCAGGGTATTGGCGGATGCTGACAAATTCGCTCAGTGAAATCACTATCACATGCATTAAAAGAGGTCAGGCAAGGAAGTGGTTCACCATAAATACTACAACTCCCTTTAAGATTATGTAGATGACAGCAATTTCTTGGCTCAAATGATTAGATCTGTTTCAGTGATTAGCTCCACATATTAAAACACCCCAAAGGAAACAAACACCCGACCCATCAAAAAGTGAAGTCTAAAAGGGTTAGGGATCGGTGGTGGGCAATGCCTTCTTGTGAATTACGAGAAAAA